AGGGTTCAGACACTTTGTGAAGTCGATGATGAGGCTCGAAGGCTTCGAACCCACCACCTATCCCCCAAACCCCTGACGATCGAAGTTTGTCTTCCGCCGCCATGGCCCTCTCCCCTTGATGCCTTTTTCCGTCCCGATGCATGGCGGCAGTTCATTTTTGCGGAAACCTTTTTTATTTTATCGTTTCGGAGTGATTCGGCCCCCACACGACTCCGCGACGACAGTTCGACTCCGAGAAAAACCTCGGCCACGAAATGAGAGTCTCCCGTTCCGTCCGAGAGACTCAACCCCTACGGCCAAAAATCCTCGGCCACGTCCCTCCTAGAACTCTGATCGGCGACCCTGTACGGGAAGCCGCAAGGGGGCGTGAGGTTGCGTATCACAAGCTACCCTCCGCACAGGCAAGGACATATCGAACAAGATTACTCAGTTCGCAGAAGAATGGTTAGGGGGGAAGAGGGAGGGATGGGTAGGAAGAGTACACTGGTCAGGAGAGAGGTGCGGGGAAGACAAAGAGGAAAACACGCAAGGCAAAATCCCCCGAGATTATCACCTTTCCTTCAAGAACTGGACAGAGGTGGACCCTAGCATTCCCATGCGGCCCGCAGTAGACTTCCCAGACCCCTTCCCACCGCACCCGCTGGCTCTGGAGGAAAGGCTCTGAAGAAGGGTGGTCAGACACAGCCAAATCTTATCTTATCTTTCCCGACCTGCAATTCATTTTCTTTTCCATTACCAGAAGGAATGCTGTGCCTATTGGAGGGGAGGTGCGATTCAGAGGTGGGGGGTGGAAGAGAGGACCAGGTCCCCTCCGATCCCCAAGGGATACTGAATGGAACGGAGTGATTTTTTACGCAAAGAAGAGGAGGCAAAGAGCTCTACGGAGTAAGACAGTTGGGGAGAGGGAGGAACGAGTTCTGCAGCAATAGGCATCTGGCGCCCAGTACAGGGCAAAGAGGTTTACTCCCCGGGCCCCAAAACCTGCACAGCCAGGCAGGCATCCTTCTCAGTCACATCTAATGTCATGCTTACACCTGCCCAGTCAATCCTCTGGTTTCCAGAGTAATCAATGCTGGCAGGCACCCTCCAGTCATCGTCCAAGTATTTTCCCAAAAAAAAAAGAAAAAACTTTAGTCAGATTTTATCATTGCAGCCTCAGTCTGTTTTCTTCTGGCCAGGCTGCTCTAAATTTCGCTGCCAGTGTGACATCCGGGGGGGACCGACGGAGGTCAGTGTAGAAAGGCAGGTGTCCTGGGGGAATGGCAGGGAGACGGTAGGGATAGCCACCGGTGCCCCCCAGTGGCCCCTCCCGGTACCCTGACCAGGCACGAGGTTGGAGAAGGAGACGAGGACCATCAGCTCTGGGTCCCAGGTTTCGGGTCATGTTCACACCTGCTCAGTCAATCCTCTGGATCCCAGAGCAATCAATGCTGGCAGGCATCCTCTAGACACCATCCAATTTTTTCTAGGCATCATTCTGTATCAATTTCTGTATGGGACGCTGGACCCGTTTTCCAGCAGGTGATGCTCTCCACCAATAGATGGAGCCTCTCCCCAGGTGCTAGCAATGTCTGCGCTAAACAACATCGCTAGCACTGGGGGGTCTGTTTTCAAAAAAAAAAAAAAAAAAAAAAAAAGAGGCAGGTCCTCGTTGAGTTTTCAACGACGTGTGACATGCCGTGATCTTGGAGATTCGAGGAGTTCCCGAAATCGGGCGGTCGATTTTCACCTTCAATTTGTTCTGTCGGAATCCGATTTTATTTAATCATAATAGCACTGAAAAATATTGAACACTCGTTTACAATGCCCCCTACCCTTCGGCTTTATCCTTGAGCTAGCTGTCTCGTTTTTTTGTCTCAGCTAGCTCAACGAGACGAGTTTCTTTTTTTTTTGGTATTGTCGGTGTTTTTTTCCGATGTTGTCATCATTGTCGATGTCAGACCGTTTCGTGAATCTGTTTTCCACGGGACGACAGAGTCTCCTGTTGTAGGCATTACACACTGTCGCAGGATAAAAAACAAGGTGTGGTCGTCTGCATGGGGCCCAAAAATTGTCCTCGTTCATTACCTGGAGGCCCATGTCTTCCTGAGGTTTGCATGCGGTACTGTGTCCATTCGCTGATAGCTAGCACAAACACACACTATAGGTGCACTGCACGTAGACTGAGCCGCCAGCCAGCCGCCAACCATAATCGGAAAGTGGGCCGCAAAAAAAATGGAAAGGCACAAAAGGTCCTCTGAAGTGCTATATCGTCATCATGACCGACCACCAAAGAAAGAGAAAAGAAAACCAAACTTATTCGAAGTTATTCCCTATTCTTGAATAAAAAAAG